AGAGCCTGCTCTCTAGAGCTGATGTTTGTCAGCCTTATGTTGGTGTAGTGTAGAGCCTTCTCTCTAGAGCTGATGTTTGTCAGCGTTATGTTGGTGTAGTGTAGATAGAGCCTTCTCTCTAGAGCTGATGTCTGTCAGCGTTATGTTGGTGTAGTGTAGATAGAGCCTTCTCTCTAGAGCTGATGTTTGTCAGCGTTATGTTGGTGTAGTGTAGAGCCTTCTCTCTAGAGCTGATGTTTGTCAGCGTTATGTTGGTGTAGTGTAGATAGAGCCTTCTCTCTAGAGCTGATGTTTGTCAGCGTTATGTTGGTGTAGTGTAGATAGAGCCTTCTCTCTAGAGCTGATGTCTGTCAGCGTTATGTTGGTGTAGTGTAGAGCCTTCTCTCTAGAGCTGATGTTTGTCAGCATTATGTTGGTGTAGTGTAGATAGAGCCTTCTCTCTAGAGCTGATGTCTGTCAGCGTTATGTTGGTGTAGTGTAGATAGAGCCTTCTCTCTAGAGCTGATGTCTGTCAGCGTTATGTTGGTGTAGTGTAGATAGAGCCTTCTCTCTAGAGCTGATGTCTGTCAGCGTTATGTTGGTGTAGTGTAGATAGAGCCTTCTCTCTAGAGCTGATGTCTGTCAGCGTTATGTTGGTGTAGTGTAGATAGAGCCTTCTCTCTAGAGCTGATGTCTGTCAGCGTTATGTTGGTGTAGTGTAGAGCCTTCTCTCTAGAGCTGATGTCTGTCAGCGTTATGTTGGTGTAGTGTAGAGCCTTCTCTCTAGAGCTGATGTCTGTCAGCGTTATGTTGGTGTAGTGTAGAGCCTTCTCTCTAGAGCTGATGTTTGTCAGCGTTATGTTGGTGTAGTGTAGATAGAGCCATCTCTCTAGAGCTGATGTCTGTCAGCGTTATGTTGGTGTAGTGTAGATAGAGCCTTCTCTCTAGAGCTGATGTTTGTCATCGTTATGTTGGTGTAGTGTAGAGCCTTCTCTCTAGAGCTGATGTTTGTCAGCGTTATGTTGGTGTAGTGTAGATAGAGCCATCTCTCTAGAGCTGATGTCTGTCAGCGTTATGTTGGTGTAGTGTAGATAGAGCCTTCTCTCTAGAGCTGATGTCTGTCAGCGTTATGTTGGTGTAGTGTAGAGCCTTCTCTCTAGAGCTGATGTTTGTCAGCGTTATGTTGGTGTAGTGTAGATAGAGCCTTCTCTCTAGAGCTGATGTCTGTCAGCGTTATGTTGGTGTAGTGTAGATAGAGCCTTCTCTCTAGAGCTGATGTCTGTCAGCGTTATGTTGGTGTAGTGTAGAGCCTTCTCTCTAGAGCTGATGTTTGTCAGCGTTATGTTGGTGTAGTGTAGAGCCTTCTCTCTAGAGCTGATGTTTGTCAGCGTTATGTTAGTGTAGTGTAGAGCCTTCTCTCTAGAGCTGATGTTTGTCAGCGTTATGTTGGTGTAGTGTAGAGCCTTCTCTCTAGAGCTGATGTCTGTCAGCGTTATGTTGGTGTAGTGTAGATAGAGCCATCTCTCTAGAGCTGATGTCTGTCAGCGTTATGTTGGTGTAGTGTAGAGCCTTCTCTCTAGAGCTGATGTTTGTCAGCGTTATGTTGGTGTAGTGTAGATAGAGCCTTCTCTCTAGAGCTGATGTTTGTCAGCGTTATGTTGGTGTAGTGTAGAGCCTTCTCTCTAGAGCTGATGTTTGTCAGCGTTATGTTGGTGTAGTGTAGAGCCTTCTCTCTAGAGCTGATGTCTGTCAGCGTTATGTTGGTGTAGTGTAGATAGAGCCTTCTCTCTAGAGCTAATGTCTGTCAGCGTTATGTTGGTGTAGTGTAGATAGAGCCTTCTCTCTAGAGCTGATGTCTGTCAGCGTTATGTTGGTGTAGTGTAGATAGAGCCTTCTCTCTAGAGCTGATGTTTGTCAGCGTTATGTTGGTGTAGTGTAGATAGAGCCTTCTCTCTAGAGCTAATGTCTGTCAGCGTTATGTTGGTGTAGTGTAGATAGAGCCTTCTCTCTAGAGCTGATGTTTGTCAGCGTTATGTTGGTGTAGTGTAGATAGAGCCTTCTCTCTAGAGCTGATGCTTGTCGGCCGTTATGTTGGTGTAGTGTAGAGCCTTCTCTCTAGAGCTAATGTCTGTCAGCGTTATGTTGGTGTAGTGTAGATAGAGCCTTCTCTCTAGAGCTGATGTTTGTCAGCGTTATGTTGGTGTAGTGTAGATAGAGCCATCTCTCTAGAGCTGATGTCTGTCAGCGTTATGTTGGTGTAGTGTAGATAGAGCCTTCTCTCTAGAGCTGATGTCTGTCAGCGTTATGTTGGTGTAGTGTAGATAGAGCCATCTCTCTAGAGCTGATGTCTGTCAGCGTTATGTTGATGTAGTGTAGAGCCTTCTCTCTAGACTCGGTACTGAAGTGTCGGGGCCACTGAGACTGCATTGCCGAGCTTCCATTCCCTTCTCTAAACTCATAAACCATTTTTTCAAGCATCAGCACGTCAGTCAGTCTTACGGGGAACATGCAGGAGTGTGAGGCCATGAAAGAGCCAGCGGATTTGAGGGGGGGGGGGCACAAAGGTGAAAGCTGCAGAAACCCTCGTACTGTACACAGACATTCTGAAACCATTTGTGGGCGAATGCTGGTCAAAGACACAAGGTTCGATGAAGTAACGCGTGTAAGAAGTTGTGAACGTAGAATTAGGAATGGATCCGATAGGGACGGGCGTAAGAAAGGAAGACAAGACGTGTATATATTCAGTGTGCTGCGTAAGCAGTTAGCATCTACACTTGAAGACATTTGCAGCGGGAGACGGCACATCCATGGGTAAGCTTGGTGTGTTTGTTGTCGATTTTTGAATTAATAGTCAGTAGAGATTCGAACACACGACCACCACCGCCCTTGGAAGTGACGCTTGCTAGCATGATGGTGCACTTTACGTGTTTTCCCTGGACAAGAGCTCAGTGCCTCTCAGCCTTAGCACTATAGCAGCTGTTCAGAATGCCACAGTGACACGACACACGCATCCGGTGAAACTGAACGGTAAACAATCCCGGCGAAACATTCCAGGGCGATGACGTGTTCCCAGTAACACATGTTGTGTGTTAGCTTCACCTCGCCAACTTTACAACACGGCTCTCGTTAGTCAGTAGTCGTGGTCGATTTGCCAGCAGTAAAGACGAACACACGATATAACTAGCTGGCCCCACAAAATGAAAGAACATCAACATCTTCATCGTTGGACCCAAAAAAGAATACCCCCCTCCAACTTTTTTTTTCTTCTTCTTCATCGTCATAATCTTTATCTTCTTCTTCTGTTATCTTATTTTAGGAGGAAAAAACGAAACAAAAATTAAGTTGTGACCACCTTCAACCTGCTCTTATAGGTTTGGTTATAATTGTGGTCTTGGTATTTTGCACCAAGTTTAATAGCTTCTTCAGCAATTGCCTTAAAGGGGCGTTTGACACGCTGTGTTGTAATTTACAGCTAGGCTGCAATATCTGTATCTATCTGCCCAACACGTTAGATTTTAGGGAATCCATAATTTATCGTAGCTTTTACCACATGATTATTAGTGGCAGAGTTTGAGTTTGCAGGCAGAAATACAACACGTAGTAACTCAGAGGCCCATTGTTTGGATACATATCCCACAGGAGTAAGTTTTACCCCACTAGGACATCACACAGAGCGATAAACACCAGGTGACACAAAGTGCCACCGTGCAGATGAGGATCACCCATAGGGAGGTCCCTGTTCAACCGTTAGATTATATTAGGGCCCCCGCCAACAGCCAGGGTGGTGATTAGAATAACAAAAAATTACATCCCTCAAGGGAACGACTTATAGCGTAACAGTACATCCCTGGTTTAATTATATAAAACATTGTACAGTGAAAATGAGACACAACCTCCAATGTGAAGATGGCACTTGGTTGATTAAATAATAACTTTGGGCTGCCAGGAGCAGACAACTCAGCATGTGTGGGCTGCTACACAGTGGCATCAAATAATATGTTTCAATTAATTGGCTACCTCAGTTTCCCCTGTTGGTTCCAGGGCCCACTAGGGGGAGTAGAAAGAATAGATTCATACCCACACACCCCCCCCCCACCCCCCTCCTCCCCCCACCACTTAAAACCTTTAGCCTTTAGTAATCATCATCATCAGGTGTCTTACCGACTGGCGTGGCCTCTCCACAATCTGCAATATCCTGCAGCATGTATCAGTTCGTGTGCTGACACACCTCGATGATATGCAACAAGAGTGTCAAGCATCTTCTCTCGTTGTCTTCCTCTATCCCTCCTTCCACAGATCTTTCTAGTAGTCACAACATGTTCTATTTTCCCTCTTCTCATTTAGTGATAGTCAACCAATTAAGATCATTTCCTTCAAAGTTGGAATGCCTGAGAGGCGAGGAACCAACAGTCTACATACACATAAGCCACAACTTTAAAACGGATGTGCACGCAGAACTGAAGTTCTGGAACTAAACGTAAGTCCAGAAGTGGGTGAACAATAGAACATTTTGACTGAGGGTTAGAGTGCAGCCGGCGAACATGAAGAAGAATAGGAAACCCCAAAATTCACAGTTACCTAACAACTGCACACACCTCGTAGTTTCAGAGGCCCTCCGTGAATCTCATACTTTTTAATAGTCATACTGAAGAACCTGTTATAATGTATAAATATTAGAATTAAAAAAGAAATACATTCTAAAGTTGAGTTGTGTGTGTGTGTGATAAATCTTCTTTTTTCGTCATTAATCCAAGTGATGGAATTGCATTGTGCCTGTTTACAGCATAGCTGGGATACGTGCGCCTTTCAGTTGACACATCCAGCTTCATTATGCATTTGTTCATCGGGTTTGCCTTCCTGTTTGTGTGTGTGCCTGTAATCGATAACATGGATCTCTTAGATTTGTTCTGGGCCCCACAGATCTTCAAATGGAACAAACTGATCTGTCCTATCACATCTTCTCAAAATGTTTTTCTCTGTATTCTTTATGTTGAATCCTTATATTATTTAATCATTTTCAGATCAGTACAGCGAAGAAAGACTCCCATGCAGCATCTGTAGGCGGTCTTTTGCTCCGGAAGTGTTGGTAAATATCTTAGATTCCAGAGATTTTATAACACTTAATTTTGTCTTTGTACATGGACTGAAGGAAAGTGTGCAGTCTCTAGTTATTTCTTTTTGTTTTTTGTTTTTTTGTTTTTTGATTAAAGAAAAGTGTGCCTCCTTCTCTTCCCTCATCAGTCTACTTCGTACAGGCATACACTGGTCCCCTCATCAGTCTACTTCATACAGACATACACTGGTCCCCTCATCAGTCTACTTCATACAGGCATACACTGGTCCCCTCGTCAGTCTACTTCGTACAGGCATACACTGGTCCCCTCATCAGTCTACTTCGTACAGGCATACACTGGTCTCCTCATCAGTCTACTTCGTACAGGCATACACTGGTCTCCTCATCAGTCTACTTCGTACAGGCATACACTGGTCCCCTCATCAGTCTACTTCGTACAGGCATACACTGGTCCCCTCATCAGTCTACTTCATACAGACATACACTGGTCTCCTCATCAGTCTACTTCGTACATGCATACACTGGTCCCCTCATCAGTCTACTTCATACAGGCATACACTGGTCCCCTCATCAGTCTACTTCGTACAGGCATACACTGTTCCCCTCATCAGTCTACTTCGTACAGGCATACACTGGTCCCCTCATCAGTCTACTTCGTACAGGCATACACTGTTCCCCTCATCAGTCTACTTCGTACAGGCATACACTGGTCCCCTCATCAGTCTACTTCGTACAGGCATACACTGGTCCCCTCATCAGTCTACTTCGTACAGGCATACACTGGTCCCCTCATCAGTCTACTTCGTACAGGCATACACTGGTCCCCTCATCAGTCTACTTCGTACAGGCATACACTGGTCCCCTCATCAGTCTACTTCGTACAGGCATACACTGGTCCCCTCATCAGTCTACTTCGTACAGGCATACACTGGTCCCCTCATCAGTCTACTTCGTACAGGCATACACTGGTCCCCTCATCAGTCTACTTCGTACAGGCATACACTGTTCCCCTCGTCAGTCTACTTCGTACAGGCATACACTGGTCCCCTCATCAGTCTACTTCGTACAGACATACACTGGTCCCCTCATCAGTCTACTTCGTACAGGCATACACTGGTTCCCCTCATCAGTCTACTTCGTACAGGCATACACTGGTCCCCTCATCAGTCTACTTCGTACAGGCATACACTGTTCCCCTCATCAGTCTACTTCGTACAGGCATACACTGGTTCCCTCATCAGTCTACTTCATACAGGCATACACTGTTCCCCTCATCAGTCTACTTCGTACAGGCATACACTGGTCCCCTCATCAGTCTACTTCATACAGGCATACATTGGTCCCCTCGTCAGTCTACTTCATACAGGCATACACTGGTCTCCTCATCAGTCTACTTCATACATGAATACACTGGTCCCCTCATCAGTCTACTTCATACAGGCATACACTGTTCCCCTCATCAGTCTACTTCATACAGGCATACACTGGTCCCCTCGTCAGTCTACTTCATACAGGCATACACTGTTCCCCTCATCAGTCTACTTCGTACAGGCATACACTGTTCCCCTCATCAGTCTACTTTGTACAGGCATACACTGTTCCCCTCATCAGTCTACTTCATACAGGCATACACTGTTCCCCTCATCAGTCTACTTCATACAGGCATACACTGTTCCCCTCATCAGTCTACTTCGTACAGGCATACACTGTTCCCCTCATCAGTCTACTTCGTACAGGCATACACTGTTCCCCTCATCAGTCTACTTCGTACAGGCATACACTGGTCCCCTCATCAGTCTACTTCATACAGGCATACACTGGTCTCCTCATCAGTCTACTTCGTACAGGCATACACTGGTTCCCTCATCAGTCTACTTCATACAGGCATACACTGGTCCCCTCATCAGTCTACTTCATACAGGCATACACTGGTTCCCTCATCAGTCTACTTCGTACAGGCATACACTGGTTCCCTCATCAGTCTACTTCATACAGGCATACACTGGTCCCCTCATCAGTCTACTTCATACAGGCATACACTGGTTCCCTCATCAGTCTACTTCGTACAGGCATACACTGGTCTCCTCATCAGTCTACTTCATACAGGCATACACTGTTCCCCTCATCAGTCTACTTCGTACAGGCATACACTGGTCCCCTCATCAGTCTACTTCGTACAGGCATACACTGGTTCCCTCATCAGTCTACTTCATACAGGCATACACTGGTCTCCTCATCAGTCTACTTCATACAGGCATACACTGGTCTTCTCATCAGTCTACTTCATACAGGCATACACTGGTCTCCTCATCAGTCTACTTCATACAGGCATACACTGGTCCCCTCATCAGTCTACTTCATACAGGCATACACTGGTCTCCTCATCAGTCTACTTCATACAGGCATACACTGGTTCCCTCATCAGTCTACTTCATACAGGCATACACTGGTCCCCTCGTCAGTCTACTTCGTACAGGCATACACTGGTCCCCTCATCAGTCTACTTCGTACAGGCATACACTGGTCTCCTCATCAGTCTACTTCGTACAGGCATACACTGGTCTCCTCATCAGTCTACTTCATACAGGCATACACTGGTTCCCTCATCAGTCTACTTCATACAGGCATACACTGGTTCCCTCATCAGTCTACTTCGTACAGGCATACACTGGTCCCCTCGTCAGTCTACTTCGTACAGGCATACACTGGTCCCCTCATCAGTCTACTTCGTACAGGCATACACTGGTCTCCTCATCAGTCTACTTCGTACAGGCATACACTTGTCCCCTCGTCAGTCTACTTCGTACAGGCATACACTGGTCCCCTCGTCAGTCTACTTCGTACAGGCATACACTGGTCCCCTCATCAGTCTACTTCGTACAGGCATACACTGGTCCCCTCATCAGTCTACTTCATACAGGCATACACTGGTTCCCTCATCAGTCTACTTCGTACATGCATACACTGGTTCCCTCATCAGTCTACTTCGTACATGCATACACTGGTTCCCTCATCAGTCTACTTCGTACATGCATACACTGGTTCCCTCATCAGTCTACTTCATACAGGCATACACTGGTTCCCTCATCAGTCTACTTCATACATGAATACACTGTTCCCCTCATCAGTCTACTTCGTACAGGCATACACTGGTCTCCTCATCAGTCTACTTCGTACATGCATACACTGGTCCCCTCATCAGTCTACTTCATACAGGCATACACTGGTTCCCTCATCAGTCTACTTCGTACATGCATACACTGGTTCCCTCATCAGTCTACTTCGTACAGGCATACACTGGTCCCCCTCATCAGTCTACTTCGTACAGGCATACACTGGTTCCCTCATCAGTCTACTTCATACAGGCATACACTGGTTCCCTCATCAGTCTACTTCATACATGAATACACTGTTCCCCTCATCAGTCTACTTCGTACAGGCATACACTGGTCTCCTCATCAGTCTACTTCATACATGAATACACTGTTCCCCTCATCAGTCTACTTCGTACAGGCATACACTGGTCTCCTCATCAATCTACTTCATACAGGCATACACTGGTCCCCTCATCAGTCTACTTCATACATGAATACACTGTTCCCCTCATCAGTCTACTTCGTACAGGCATACACTGGTCTCCTCATCAGTCTACTTCGTACAGGCATACACTGGTCTCCTCATCAGTCGACTTCATACAGGCATACACTGGTCTCCTCATCAGTCTACTTCATACAGGCATACACTGGTTCCTCTCATCAGTCTACTTCATACATGCATACACTGGTCCCCTCATCAGTCTACTTCGTACAGGCATACACTGGTCCCCTCATCAGTCTACTTCGTACAGGCATACACTGGTCTCCTCATCAGTCTACTTCGTACAGGCATACACTGGTCTCCTCATCAGTCTACTTCGTACAGGCATACACTGTTCCCCTCATCAGTCTACTTCGTACAGGCATACACTGGTCTCCTCATCAGTCTACTTCATACAGGCATACACTGGTCTCCTCATCAGTCTACTTCGTACAGGCATACACTGGTCCCCTCATCAGTCTACTTCATACAGGCATACACTGGTTCCCTCATCAGTCTACTTCGTACATGCATACACTGGTTCCCTCATCAGTCTACTTCATACAGGCATACACTGGTTCCCTCATCAGTCTACTTCATACAGGCATACACTGGTTCCCTCATCAGTCTACTTCATACAGGCATACACTGGTTCCCCTCATCAGTCTACTTCATACAGGCATACACTGGTTCCCTCATCAGTCTACTTCCAGGCATACACTGGTCCCCTCATCAGTCTACTTCGTACAGGCATACACTGGTCCCCTCATCAGTCTACTTCATACAGGCATACACTGGTCTCCTCATCAGTCTACTTCATACAGGCATACACTGGTCCCCTCCTCAGTCTACTTCGTACAGGCATACACTGGTCCCCTCATCAGTCTACTTCGTACAGGCATACACTGGTCCCCCTCATCAGTCTACTTCATACAGGCATACACTGGTTCCCTCATCAGTCTACTTCGTACATGGCATACACTGGTCCCCCTCATCAGTCTACTTCGTACAGGCATACACTGGTCCCTCCTACTTCATCAGTCTACTTCGTACAGGCATACACTGGTCTCCTCATCAGTCTACTTCATACAGGCATACACTGTTCCCCTCATCAGTCTACTTCGTACAGGCATACACTGGTCTCCTCATCAGTCTACTTCGTACAGGCATACACTGGTCTCCTCATCAGTCAGTCTGGTCCTTCTTCGTACAGGCATCACTACACTGGTCCCCTCATCAGTCTACTTCGTACAGGCATACACTGGTCTCCTCATCAGTCTACTTCATACAGGCATACACTGGTCTCCTCATCAGTCTACTTCGTACAGGCATACACTGGTCTCCTCATCAGTCTACTTCGTACAGGCATACACTGGTCCCCTCATCAGTCTACTTCATACAGGCATACACTGGTCCCCTCATCAGTCTACTTCGTACAGGCATACACTGGTCATCCCTACTTCATCAGTCCTACTTCCTCATCAGTACAGGCATACACTGGTCCCCTCATCAGTCTACTTCATACAGGCATACACTGGTCCCCTCATCAGTCTACTTCGTACAGGCATACACTGGTCTCCTCATCAGTCTACTTCGTACAGGCATACACTGGTCTCCTCATCAGTCTACTTCATACAGGCATACACTGGTCTCCTCATCAGTCTACTTCATACATGAATACACTGTTCCCCTCATCAGTCTACTTCATACATGAATACACTGGTCCCCTCATCAGTCTACTTCGTACAGGCATACACTGTTCCCCTCATCAGTCTACTTCGTACAGGCATACACTGGTCTCCTCATCAGTCTACTTCGTACAGGCATACACTGGTCTCCTCATCAGTCTACTTCGTACAGGCATACACTGTTCCCCTCATCAGTCTACTTCATACAGGCATACACTGGTTCCCTCATCAGTCTACTTCATACAGGCATACACTGGTCCCCTCATCAGTCTACTTCGTACAGGCATACACTGGTCCCCTCATCAGTCTACTTCGTACAGGCATACACTGGTCTCCTCATCAGTCTACTTCGTACAGGCATACACTGGTCTCCTCATCAGTCTACTTCATACAGGCATACACTGGTCCCCTCATCAGTCTACTTCATACAGGCATACACTGGTCTCCTCATCAGTCTACTTCGTACAGGCATACACTGGTCCCCTCATAAGTCTACTTCATACAGGCATACACTGGTCTCCTCATCAGTCTACTTCGTACAGGCATACACTGTTCCCCTCATCAGTCTACTTCATACAGGCATACACTGGTCCCCTCATCAGTCTACTTCATACAGGCATACACTGGTCCCCTCGTCAGTCTACTTCATACAGGCATACACTGGTCTCCTCATCAGTCTACTTCATACAGGCATACACTGGTTCCCTCATCAGTCTACTTCATACAGGCATACACTGGTCCCCTCGTCAGTCTACTTCGTACAGGCATACACTGGTCCCCTCATCAGTCTACTTCGTACAGGCATACACTGGTCCCCTCATCAGTCTACTTCGTACAGGCATACACTGGTCTCCTCATCAGTCTACTTCATACAGGCATACACTGGTTCCCTCATCAGTCTACTTCGTATAGGCATACACTGGTCCCCTCATCAGTCTACTTCGTACAGGCATACACTGGTCTCCTCATCAGTCTACTTCGTACAGGCATACACTGGTCCCCTCATCAGTCTACTTCATACAGGCATACACTGGTTCCCTCATCAGTCTACTTCGTACATGCATACACTGGTTCCCTCATCAGTCTACTTCGTACATGCATACACTGGTTCCCTCATCAGTCTACTTCATACAGGCATACACTGGTTCCCTCATCAGTCTACTTTATACAGGCATACACTGGTTCCCTCATCAGTCTACTTCATACAGGCATACACTGGTCTCCTCATCAGTCTACTTCGTACAGGCATACACTGTTCCCCTCATCAGTCTACTTCGTACAGGCATACACTGGTCTCCTCATCAGTCTACTTCATACAGGCATACACTGGTCTCCTCATCAGTCTACTTCGTACAGGCATACACTGGTTCCCTCATCAGTCTACTTCGTACATGCATACACTGGTTCCCTCATCAGTCTACTTCATACAGGCATACACTGGTTCCCTCATCAGTCTACTTCATACAGGCATACACTGGTTCCCTCATCAGTCTACTTCATACAGGCATACACTGGTTCCCTCATCAGTCTACTTCATAAAGGCATACACTGGTCCCCTCATCAGTCTACTTCGTACAGGCATACACTGTTCCCCTCATCAGTCTACTTCGTACAGGCATACACTGGTCTCCTCATCAGTCTACTTCATACAGGCATACACTGGTCTCCTCATCAGTCTACTTCATACATGAATACACTGTTCCCCTCATCAGTCTACTTCGTACAGGCATACACTGGTCTCCTCATCAGTCTACTTCGTACAGGCATACACTGGTCTCCTCATCAGTCTACTTCATACATGAATACACTGTTCCCCTCATCAGTCTACTTCATACATGAATACACTGGTCCCCTCATCAGTCTACTTCGTACAGGCATACACTGTTCCCCTCATCAGTCTACTTCGTACAGGCATACACTGGTCTCCTCATCAGTCTACTTCGTACAGGCATACACTGGTCTCCTCATCAGTCTACTTCGTACAGGCATACACTGTTCCCCTCATCAGTCTACTTCGTACAGGCATACACTGGTCTCCTCATCAGTCTACTTCGTACAGGCATACACTGGTCTCCTCATCAGTCTACTTCGTACGGGCATACACTGGTCCCCTCATCAGTCTACTTCATACGGGCATACACTGGTCCCCTCATCAGTCTACTTCATACAGGCATACACTGGTCTCCTCATCAGTCTACTTCGTACAGGCATACACTGGTCTCCTCATCAGTCTACTTCATACAGGCATACACTGGTCCCCTCATCAGTCTACTTCGTACAGACATACACTGGTTCCCTCATCAGCCTACTTCGTACAGGCATACACTGGTCCCCTCATCAGTCTACTTCATACAGGCATACACTGGTCCCCTCATCAGTCTACTTCATACAGACATACACTGGTCTCCTCATCAGTCTACTTCATACAGGCATACACTGGTCCCCTCGTCAGTCTACTTCGTACAGGCATACACTGGTCCCCTCATCAGTCTACTTCGTACAGGCATACACTGGTCCCCTCATCAGTCTACTTCGTACAGGCATACACTGGTCTCCTCGTCAGTCTACTTCGTACAGACATACACTGGTCCCCTCATCAGTCTACTTCGTACAGGCATACACTGGTCCCCTCGTCAGTCTACTTCGTACAGACATACACTGGTCCCCTCATCAGTCTACTTCGTACAGGCATACACTGGTCCCCTCATCAGTCTACTTCGTACAGGCATACACTGGTCTCCTCGTCAGTCTACTTCGTACAGGCATACACTGGTCTCCTCGTCAGTCTACTTCATACAGGCATACACTGGTCCCCTCGTCAGTCTACTTCGTACAGGCATACACTGGTCCCCTCATCAGTCTACTTCGTACAGGCATACACTGGTCTCTTCGTCAGTCTACTTCGTACAGGCATACACTGGTAAGGTTCACAGATTCACCTGAAATCTGTCAGTTGGAGAAGTTCATCAGCCTATAATTTCACTCATTTGTTCGTCAAAATCATCAGTTAGGAGTTCATTAACACAACGTTGCTGTCATCACAGCACACCTGAAAGTCTCTCTTTCTCTATCCAGTTCTTCCTGTGGTCTTTCATAGCCGATACATCTTCAGTGTCTTGTATCCACTTTCACTTAGGTCTGTTTTTGCATTGTTTGCCGGAACTGTAACCTCCATGTGTTCATTTATTACTGGATACTTTTTGATTTTGTGCTCCTTATATGTTACCAAACACTTCAGTGTTTGATAGGTTGTTGATGTTTCCACAGACAAAAAACTCCAATGTATGATAGATTGTTGATGTATCCACAGACAAAACACTCCAGTGTTTAATAGTTTGTTGACATGTCCACAGGTAAAACTCTCCAATGTTTGAAAGATTGTTGATGTGTCCACAGATAAAACGCTCCAATGTTTGATAGACTGTTGATGTGTCCACAGATAAAACATTTTAGTTTTTTTTTCTTGTTGTTGTAATTCACAGACAAAACACTCAAGTGTTTGATAGATTATTGGTGTAATTCGCAGACAAAACACACTTTGATAGATTTTTGATGTGTCCACAGACAAAACATTCAAAGGTTTGCAAAAAGACTGCAGCGACTGCTGCTAAACGGAAGCCGTTTGATTCTTCTAAGCAGCGAGTCCTAGAAGGAGAACTGTCTCTGAAACAGATCAAGGAGGCCCAGAAGAAGGTACAGCTGTTGTTATGTCTGTCCATTCAGCCACTCGTTGTTTGGTCCTTTGCCCTGCAGTCATCATCATCATCATGAGCCTTGCCTGGCTGTGAAGGCAGTCACAAAAATCTTTCAAGTGCTTAGGGCATCAGATGGTCCTAATCCAACCTTGTATCTACTGTTATCGACATCAGCACAAAGCAATATGCTGCCAAAATCTGAATTGAGCTGATTAGTTCAGAATTACGAACCAAGTTCACAACCCCTAAGCCACAGACACGGTTCGTAGATAATGATGAATGTCAGTGTTTATCTTGAGAGATACATTTAGCAGAGTATTTCTTCCCTCACTACCTGTGAAATGCACTGTCTATGGTCATTAACAACACAAGATGGAACAGGGTTACAAATACCAGCTTCAAAGAGAAGTTGGAAGGGAAGCAGAACATCTGGAGAGAAGGCAAGAGGAAGACCCAGATTAATAAATAGTGTAGCTGAAACCTGCAAAGGAGTGAACAAACCCATCACCCAAGACACAGAGAAGCAGCAGACAAATACAGAAAACCCTAACACTGTGCTAGACAACCTGGTATCAGTGATGACAGAAGAGGTTGTCTTCGTTTTCATGTTCTTTCGATCAATAAATGCTTGTTTTACATTAACTTCTTCTGTGCTGAGGTCATAGGTCACTTAGTAAGGGTTAAAAGTTTAAAGTCAAAAGGAATCGACATCAATGCACCAGACTATATCTCATATGGCAGAGTTTCTCTCCTCTTCGCCACAGAGACTCCCGCCATGTAATACTTTCAGAGTGCGAGGCAAACGGCTTGACAGCTTCGCCACAGAGACTCCCGCCATGTAATACTTTCAGAGTGCGAGGCAAACGGCTTGACAGCTTTGTCACAGAGACACCCGCCATGTAATACTTTCAGAGTGCGGGGCAAACGGCTTGACAGCTTCGCCACAGAGACTCCCGCCATGTAATACTTTCAGAGTGCGAGGCAAACGGCTTGACAGCTTCGCCACAGAGACTCCCGCCATGTAATACTTTCAGAGTGCAAGGCAAACGGCTTGACAGCTTTGTCACAGAGACACCCGCCATGTAATACTTTCAGAGTGCGAGGCAAACGGCTTGACAGCTTCGCGTCACAGAGACCCCCGCCATGTAATACCTTCACCCAGGATGAGACCTGTCATTTTCTCAATATCTGTCCATACTATACTCTCTTTTTGCCCTTATTTACCTTTTTTTTAAAGGATCAGAAAAATGAAAAGAAGTGGGGGGGGGGGGGGGGGGGGGGGGGGGGAGTGTTCTTAGTTAGGCCCAAAGATTTGTTGGCCACATGGCTGTTTAAGTCACCACAGATTGCTGCTTAGGTTGTTTTTTTCCGGGTCCCTGTCAGAAATAAATCCATAACCTTTCTGAGAGTTTGAACCTTGGTCTCCTGAGTGGCAGTCCAGCATTCTTGACAGCTTGGGCATGTGGATTTTCTAGGCTTTCAGAATTAGAATAGTTAATGTTACCAATTACAAACTGTTTTTTTTTTTAAACCTGAAAACTTATGGTGGAAAAAGGGGGGGGGGGGGCAACTGTAGGTGCCTGAGTTTCCCAGATTGTGGCGTCCCTGGTTATAATTTTCAAGCTGGAAATCAATAGCCTGATGACACTGTGTAATAATAATAATAATAATTATTATTTCATTCTTGGAAATAATACATTAATTGTATCTCCATTATTAATAATAGTATCTGAAGGTCACAGAGTTGCTATGAGAAAATGTTCAAGCCAAGCTATGATTTATGTGTGTATAAGGTGGGGGGGGGGGGGAGTGGGGGTGGGGTGATGGTCAGATAATTATCTTATATTTACATTTCATTTGCCTGTAATGGGGTCTTTTTAAAGCTGCAAATCTTTTGTGGCAAAAGAGCACAGAGCATACACTGGCCAGTGGTTCTGCAGATTTTCAATCTAAACCAAGATCAGGCATAACTGCATCAGACGGGAAAACTAATGCATTCAAATTTACAGGCAACAATTGAGATAACACGCTGATTGGCCAGATTTTGTAGAACTGGAGGGATGGCCAAGGATGTTGCTCAAGAGTAGGGAGTAGTTGATTCCGGTTTTTTTCCTTGGTTATTCTTCTGTTTTTGTTGCTTTAATTTATTTTAACACTGTTTTGAGTTTTAAAGTTAATGATCAGGTTTGATTTGTGCTTTTAAATATTCCAAAACTGCATTTACTTTTTTACAAATTGGCCAGCTTGTGGATACATTTTACAAAAAAAAAAAAAAGACATATTACAAAAATTGCAGGCTTGTTTGCAGGAAGTAGAAAGACCAGAATTATAAATAATATCTCATCTTCTTCTTAGCACTCACCAGATTTAAACTCTGGCAGAAAGTTCTGATTGTTCACCCACTTCTAGACTTTTGGTCTTTTTTCCAGAACTTGAGTTTTGCATGTACCCATTTACAGATCTGGCTTATATACTAACTCCTGGTTTTTTGCCTCTCATTCAAGCAGATGTTCTTGGACTTTATAGGAAACACTCATAATTTGTCACCTTTTATGTCCCTTAACCACCCCTCCCCTCTCCCTTCCCAATATGGCCTGGAACACCCATGGAGTTTTCCAGTTTGAATGTAAACTTATGGAAAAAGGATTTCAAATGGAGGAACATTACAGGAGTTATTTGTTTAAGTTGGAGTTTCCCCATGTCTGCTGTACTATAATTCTGTTTTATTTGGTTTTCATGTCTGGCTAAGTTTACAGTATCTGATTGATTTCCAGAACTTTGTTTTTGTGTGTTCAAAATTATAGTGGGGTCATACGTAGTTAACACAGGGATATTTTAAAGCAGGCGTGTCAAAGTTTTGTTGCCATACATGAGAACTAATTGAAGTAATTTAATAGAAATTATTGTTTGCAAACTGCCACATGTTTGACATGATTGTTTTAAAGTATAAACCCCCCCCCCCCCCCCTCTTTCCACAGAATATCAAAGTTACCAGAGATGACCACTAGCTTTCCACTATTGATCCTAAATACTGGTTCTCTCTCTGGTCTTTTGTGGGTCCCAAGGTCCCATTTTGTGGGGGGGGGGGATAGACCCACTTCCCCTTTCCAAGCATGGTCTACAGAAAGAAAAAAAAGACTGGATATGGTTTTCTGAAATCAGATGTGTTGGTCGGAAGTCATAGATATCCCAGCCTAGCTGAAAAAGACTATACAGTTTGCCACCCATCCATAAAAGGGCACACAACAGAAAAAGTGGGAATAGTAATTTCCTAATCCTTGCTGGAGCTTCTTAGACCCAGAGTCCTGATGATTCCATGTGAAAGTCATTGCCAGTTACTCATCCCAATCAATAATACTCACCTATAAACATTGTTATAGCAATCTTTGAGAGTTGTACGTGGACAAGACAATATGTCAGAGGTCACTGTAGTCTTTACCATTACCTCCCATGTCAACTTAGTCTTTATCATTATCTCCCACAGGAAATTAAGCCACCAAAAAGCCATTGGCGAGAGAAACATCAAGATTTTATTAATGCTGTGAGAAATGCCAGAGGTTTACAGAAGGTGATTGATTCAGGTGGTCCCCTGCCACCTCCACCTCCTCCGTCAATTAACCCAGGTGAGTTATAACCTTGCCCATTATCTATTAACCGGTCAGTATTATTGTTAAGGATGTCAGGAGTGTCAGAATAGTTAATTCTATGACAGACTGTTCACGGCTGGTTCAGCAAATCAAGTAGCGATCCCAGAGTTGATTGTAGCCATTAGAGGCCTTATACATCACAGGGTTTTGAAACTTCCTACAGCACTTATATTATACACTGACTGGACTGACAGACATGCATCACCACATTCGTCGATGGGTTCTGTAGGTTTCATCCCTTCACTGGATAGCATGCTGCTCCTCTTTGATGCATGTCAAAAAAGGGTGGCCATTTTCAAACTGTCGGTAAAAGTAACGTTGATCTCCCAATGTCCCGCCACTATGCACACTAGCTCACTTCTGATTGGTAGTTCCTGAACCTGTCACCTTGGCACAAGGTTTCGGAGGGTGTTCCGCAATGCTTTTGATATCACATGTTGTATATTTCAGCACTCCAGCGCTTTTAACACTCCAAAAACATGGAGAAACTGGTCCCAACACAACACCCCTAGAGAGTGCTGCAACCTTTGTCACAGGCATTCTTTTTCTCTGAATGAAAATGTAAATGGAAGACATCAGAAAGTAAACAACAGAGCGGGACACACCCGTAATCTTCAGCAAAGTCGACCAGCTCAACAAACTTGGAATGAAAAGTGACCTACTCTATTTAGGAAGATTAACGTGAACCTAACCAAACTGTCATTTTGACATCAGTAACTGCTGCACTGTGATGGCATGTGCTTACTGCTCTTGACATTGACAGATTATAAGATAATGGCATGGTTATTGTAATTTTTGTCAAATGGTTAAGGTTTTCATCGAAGCACCTTCGTGTGAGTATCAATAGACAATCATTGGCATCGTCAGGATGGCAACTGTTCGTCTGCTACTGAAGTAGACGAATCAAGTATAGGAGTGTTCTAATTAAAATAGTAACAATGTTCCTTTGACACCAGTGTTACTTCTAGCATGTGATATCCTGGTGCATAATTTTATACAAGTGTGTCAGAGATTCAACTGGCTAGACAAACATGCGGATCTCTCAGAGAGACTTCAAGTGATTTTGTATATTGTTGTTTGTATTTGTGGCATTGTCCAGTCATGTTATATGCTGATAAAAGCTTTCTGGCTGCAGCATTCATTTGTTGTTTTTGTTATAGGTAATGTAAAGTTGGCTAGTTCTGCTTTTGGTTTTATTTCATTTCTTTTTTTTTCCATGGTTAAATTTTTATAGACCAACCGTGAGCATCACCTTGCTCGCTTTCACTTCTTGCTCACTTTCACTTCTTGCTCGCTTTCACTTCTTGCTCGCTTTTACTTCTTCAGTATTATTACCTGATACCCACTTTAGGTTGGGTAGAGCTGGGAGATAAGCTCAGTACAGAAAAAGTATGTCCCCTGTCAGAAATCGAACGCATGATCTTCGGGGAGCATCTAGTGACTACCTCACCATCTTCATCATGTAGCAGGTTCTTTGCAGAATGTCGCTCTCATCACGGTCTGCCTGTGGGAAACTACCACATTATTATTACAAGAGACTTATCATGGAAACAAAAACGAAACTCAAAGATCTGGTGGTGAGGCTGCCATGCCAGGCAGATCACAGATATGAACTGAGGAAGAGACCACATTACCACAGCTCGCTGATGTCTTGATTGCTGTGAGGCAATTCATAATTCAAACAATCAAGAAAATCAGTAAGACGCACACATGTACATCAGTATTTCATCTCTTTCTCTTGACTGCTGGAAACTAACTCAGTTGTTACCAATTCCAGATTATGTCCAGTGTCCACACTGTTCTCGTCGCTTCAACCCATCGGCAGCCGAGCGACACATTAACTTCTGTAAAGACAAGCAGGCAAAGTTACCCAAGAGCAAACCTGGCAATACGTCTGCCAAGCAGAACACTCAAGTCAATGTAAGTCTTATCTGAGATCATGGAAATTAGCCGCAGACAGTTCCTAAAATGTGTTTTAACCCCCCCACCCCAATCTGCGGCTGTAAACTCCAGGGAAAGTTATGGTTGGTTTTCTGGACTTTGATCCTTTCAGAACTGGAGTTTTTATTGCACGCCCAGTTTTTACATCTGGCATATTTGTATGCAGACTGTTGGTTTCTCGCCTGTCAGACAGGTGTACTCTGGCTTTGATGTAAACACCACTAATTAGTCAACTTCTACTATTTCCCTCCGCCTCAATGGGCACCTGGAACCCACTTGGGGAGTGTGTATTGTAATAACTCTTTAGGCGATCTTGATGTAACTATTTGTCCTTTTTCACTCAATAACGGTCATAATAAATGTTTAGGTCTCAATGAGTTATATTTACAATAGAAGAGAATGAGTTAAAGTAACAGTTGGGATGGAATTGAAAAATCCTTTTATTTCTTCAAAGTCGGAGTGCATCTGCCTGATAGGCAAGGAACCAACCAATTGCATACAAAAATGCCAGATCTGTCAAATGGATGCGCACACAAAACTCAAGTTTTGGAAAAGGTTATATTCCAGAACAACCAGAACTTTTCACTGGAGTTTACAACCGCTGAATGTGAAGAAGAAGAAGAACTGAACAGGTTTCTTGGTCTAGTTGTAAAATTTAAAATACACCCACGTAAGAATATTTATCGCTTTTCTTCAGTATAGATTTCTTGTTGAGTAGGTTTGTTATCTTTAATTACTTTTAACTGTTAGAATGTCTTATATGCGAGGGTGCTCCACAAGTAAACGCCGTCGCAAAACTACTACTCCTGTGGTAGTTTCTGAGTCGTCAGGGAACGACGGGCAGGGTGAACCCCACTCGCCCGGAGAGGCCCATGACGCCGACTGCGGAGGAGCACCTTTGATGATTTCTGAGGAAGTGCGTTCCAAGATTAGGTTTCCACCTGCGAGCGATAAGGTGGTGTGGTGTAAGTTGGAGAGTACATTGTGTGAGATACTTAAACATGATTTAAACAAGAAGTCGTTAGGCGACAAGCTTACAAAATTCGGTGATGTAATATATGAACACTGATCCCGTGAGTTCGGGACAGTAGAAAAGGCACAGCCGGGTGCCAAGCAGAATACTAGCAGGAGGCAGAGGGACATTCTGAAGTGTCGGGCAGACAAGAATGCCCTCAGAAAACGGTTCAAAGCCGCTACAGGTAGCGAACGGGAGGGGCTGTATGAAGTCTGGTTGCATTTAAAGAACAGACACAGGGCCCTCTGTCACGCTGAGCGTTTCTGCGCCAACAGACGGAGAACCAAAAGGGAGCGAGAGAAATTCTTTAGGGACCCGTATCAGTTTGCTCGAGGTCTATTCGAGCAACCGAAGTCTGGGACTCTGGTTTTCAGTCAGGAAGAGCTTGAGTCACATCTACGCAAGATGTACTCTGACAAAAAGAGGAGAGAGCCTCTCGATGACAATACAGAGATCCTTAGCGGCCTCACGCAGCCTGCGTTGCCGAAGGTACCATTTAAAATGATACCTCCCCTTTAGTCTGAGGTTGAGGAAGTTGTGAAAGGGGCCAGTGGCAAATCTGCCCCAGGTCCAAATGGTGTTCCGTACGTTCTTTACAAGCTTCACGTCTTGTTGAGACAAGCGTGGATCCGTAATCACATATGTCCAGAGTGGCAAAAGGCGAATGGGGTCTACATTCCCAAAGAGCAGGACTCGAAGAGTCTTTCCCAATTCAGGCCCATCTTGCTGTTGAATGTCGAGGGTAAGATATTCTTCTCGGTCATGGCTCGCCGGCTCACACAGTATCTGATGGCTAACAAGTACATAGATACGAGTGTTCAGAAGGGTGGTATTCCGGGCGTTCCTGGGTGCCTTGAACACGCGACCATGATTTGGGAGGCTATTCAGAGAGCCAAGCATGAAAGAACTCAATTACACGTGATATGGTTGGACTTAGCCAACGCCTACTGGGCAGTCCCCCATAGGCTACTGTGGCGAGCCCTTCGCATGTTTCACGTACCGGCACAGGTCAATGATATGATCGAGCAATATTTCTCTAAGTTCGCTTTGCGCTTCTCTACCTCGACGTTTACCACGAGATGGACTGAGCTGCAGATTGGGAAAGCTATGGGGTGTACGATCTCACCAATACTGTTTGTCATGGCCATGCAGATCATGTTGGACGGGGCGGCCGGCTACGGACAGTGCCTTCAAATAGGGGATCACTGGATGGCTCCACTGCGTGCCTTTATGGATGACACGACTATTATAACGGGCAGCGAGGAGTCTGCCCGCTCGATCCTGGGAAGATTGGACGCGGTGGTCCAATGGAGCGGTATGCAATTCAAACCCCAGAAGTCGAGGAGTCTGTCTATCCTTAAGGGTCGAGTGGCGGCAACCAGTTTTACGGTGGCAAGGAATAAAATCCCCACGGTTCTGGAGGAACCGGTGAAGAGCCTTGGTTGCATTTACGATTCGTAGTTATCTGATAGAGCGGAGGTCCGGCGAATACACGAGTCACTGGCTACAGGCCTGCTCGCGATCGAGCGTTGCAGGCTGGTCGGGAAGTTCAAGGTATGGTGTCTCCAATTCATGTTGATTCCGAAGCTCCTATGGCCACTGTTAGTCTACGAGGTGACGATGACTGCAGTGGAAACCATGGAGAGGAAAATCAACACAGCCTTGAGAAAGGGGATTGGTGCACCGCCTTGTCTGACCGACGTGGCTCTGTATTGCAAGCAGGCTAAGCTGGTACTCCCGTTCAAATCAATAACCGAAGAGTTTAAAGTTGGCAAGGTAAGACTCGCCATGCTCTTGCGCGAGTCTTCAGACCCAAATGTCATCGCTGTCCACCCCTCTCTAAAGACTGGGCAGAAGTGGAGGGTCCTCGATGCGATTGAATCTGCGCAGAATGCACTAAAATTGAAGGAGATAATGGGATACACTCAAACCGACCGTCGAGGCCTAGGGCACGGGAAGGTCAATTGGTGGTCAAAGGCCTCAGCCAGAGAACGCCGAGACATGGTAATACAAATGGTGAGGAACAACGAAAACGAGGTTCGGGTTCAGAAAGCGGCCCAGCAGTCGCAGCAGGGCCATTGGGTTAGCCTGGAGAGCGCATTGCCAAGAATACTCACATGGGGTGAGATCTGGCGAATGACCCCGCTGCGACTGAGCTTTATCGTTCGTTCGGCGTACGATGTATTACCGTCCGGTGTTAATATGGTTAAGTGGTCTGCGACTAACGATCCGACTTACCCGTTGTGCAAAGCGAAGCAGGCTCTTGAGCACGTCCTGTCCGCGTGCAGGAAAGCCCTAGGCCAAGGCCGATATACCTGGCGACACAACAAGGTGCTAAAAGAGTTAGCAGCCGTTGTTGACCAGGCTAGAATGAGGGCTAACGCTAGAGCCAGTTCTACCATCGTCCCCATACGTTTCCTCAAGGCTGGGCAGATTCCAAAAGGTAAGGTCAACCGGAACGCATTCGCTCCATCTGTGCTAGACTCTGCGAGGGACTGGTTACTGGCGGTTGATCTGCCGGGCCATGAAAGGTACTCCGAGTTAATCCAGAAGACCGGCCTGCGACCTGACATAGTTCTCCACTCTGCGGAGAAACGGCAGCTCATCCTGATTGAGTTGACCGTCCCGTATGAGTCGCGTATGGACGAGAGTCACACATATAAGCTCGAGAAATATTGTGACTTAGCAGCCGGTCTGAGGAGAAACGAGGCGTACACAGTACGGGTCTTTGCCGTCGAAGTGGGAGCGAGAGGCCTCGTTTCCACTTCGCTCTACAATGTGGTTAAAGAACTAGGATTGCGCGGTTATGAACGGAAACGAACACTTAAAAGACTGGGCGAGGAAGCCGAAAGGGCCTCGAGTTGGCTTTGGACGCAGCGAAACAACGTAGGGGAGGGGCCTCGGTGAGCTGGTCCGGGTGTCTAGCGGAAAGAGAGTTTTTCATCCCTTGAAAGTCCATCATGTCTGAATTGTCTGCCAGTGATCCTCTGCCACCTGCTAACAAAAGTCCAACATGTGTCCGGTAAACCAATCGTAAGCTTGTCGCTCGGTCGTCCAGGTATGCTGACTGCTTTAATTAGGCTGCCGTGACGACTTCTTATCTCACGGTACCTTCTGCAAATCACCAAGTCGTCTTGTCCCTATCCGAAAGAAAATCACCATCCGGTAATTTCGTGCAGCAGGGTACCAGCCCTGAGCTTCATGAACTTAGGTGGGCCCACCTCCGAAAGTGTCTAGGAGAATCGTGGGCCGAAACACTTGTCGACGAGGATAACTTCTACTGATGACTGGTAGATCCCTGCTGTACTTGCTCCCTGTGAGTTTATTCCTATGCTTGCAGTAGAGTCTGTGGATTATAAATGTAGGTAAATTGTGTTGTTGACATTGTTCATCTGTGTTTACAGTGCCAGTTTATTAGCTGAAACCTCTGTTTGAGACGCTAGTAACTTAGAGGTGTAATATTTTGTCATTTTTGGCAGTATCAGCCTCCGAAACCTAAAGCCAAGACCAGTACCACAGCTCCTTCGTCTGCAACTGCCACTACCTCATCTACTGGACCAGGTAAGTGGTTGTTAATATCTTTCCATATTTTCAAGAAGAGTAGAGTGGTTACATTGTCTGCTTCTTAACTCAAAAATGTAAACTATGTATATATATCTATATTGGCTATTGTCGGCTGTTTGCAAAGCTAGGAACCTAAGAATTATGTATTTTATCCTAGATCCCAAAGTAATAGATAGGAATCACATATTTCTTGGAAAAAAGTAAAATTAATAGATTTTGTGTACAAGTTGTGTGTGTCAATAATCTATCGATAGTTTAATTGTAAAATATACCTTACCCTACGATTCCTGACTCCCTGAAAAAGAAATGGAAAAACTACTTATAGTATTATATATATAATGTATATGTATGTGTATATGTGTGTGTGAGGGGAAAAAACAAAATTATTCTTTTTAAAAGAATCTTAGTTTCCCCTGTGCTAGATCTGTTCTAGGGATTTCCTTTCCACAGATGTGACATTACAGTGCTAGTGTTGCACACCCTGGTGTTGTTTTTTTTAGCTTGGAGAGGGTAGGGAGAGCTCTGTAACATAATCCCCATGGAGATAGTACTTTGTTTTCAGGCTAGGAAAGTTTCTACATTAACCTTAGCCTGTTAATATGGACCCTTTTCAAAGTTCAGGCATCATGATTGTCAGACTGTTAGAATTAAAGACATGAAACTTATAGCCTTCCAGAGCATTGACAACCAGCAAACTTCAGCTCATATGTTTTCTGGTATTTTCCATTGATCTGGCTTTAGCTCGACCAGCACTGGCAGCAACAAAAGCACCATTGAAAGCACCAGCTCCTGCAGCGAAAGCATCAGCTGCAGGACCAACATCCTCGGCCAAAAACTCCACACTAGGGTCCAATTCTTCTACAAAACAGACGCCTTCAGCAAAAGTTCCTGCTGGAGCATCTTCCTCGACCACACGGATAGCCAGTGGTGGGTCTGCCTCCTCGACACGCATAGTCACTAGCGGGTCTGCTTCTACAACACGGATAGCTGCTAGTGGACCTGTTGCCACAACACGGATAACTCCAGGAAATGGAGCTCCTTCATCAAAGATTGGCGCTGGAGGACCTGTTGCCTCTGCTCAGATACCTGCAGGAGAAGCAGCCTCCTCGGCAAAGAAATCTTCAGGTAGTTTGCCTTCATCTTTACGAACACCTGCAGGTTTGGCTTCTTCTTCATCAAAGATACCATCTGGAAATGCAGCTCCTTCTACAAAGATACCTGTAGGGGCAGCACCATCGTCAAGAATCCCTGTTGGCGGTGCAGCCTTGACAAGAATTCCTGTTGGAGGTTTGGCCCGGGGAAAGGCAGCTCCAGTTTCTGTAAGTAATCATTATCTTTGGGAGATAATCGTTGAAGTGTTAAAGTAGCCTTAAAAAATAATGTGCCGTCTTTACAATGAAGGTTGTTTCCAGCGTTCCCACAGCTGTCTCCAGCGCTCCCACAGCTGTCTCTAGCGTTCTGTCATAGAATTACAGTATCCTTTATCCCTAAAGATATTTTTCATAGCATTAACAATATCCTTAAAGATGTGCTTCATAGCATTTACAATATCTCAAAAGATGTCCGTCATACCATTTACAATATCTCTAAAGATGTCCGTCATACCATTTACAATATCCCTAAAGATATTTGTCGTAGCATTTTCAATAACCTATATGCCTAAGGATAGTTGTCATAGCATTTACAGTATCACCTAACCCTGAAGATATCTGTCAGAATTGACAATATCTGACATCTCTAAAGATATCTATCAGAATTTACAAGATCCCATATCTCTAAAAATATCTGTCATAGAATTTACAATATTCCATATTCATAAAGTCATCTGTCATAGAATATTTACAGAAGCCTATATCTCTAAAGACATCTGTTATAGAATTTACAATATCTTTTCTATTCCTAATGATGTCTGTCAGAGTTTACAATATCCCACATCTTCAGGTATTTTATGTCATAGAGTTACACAGTTTAGCAATTATGAAAATGAAATTTTATTACAATCAACCTGTTTTTGTTTTTAGAAACCCTTCCCTTTCTACATACTGCAGGGACCAAAAGCATAGATAGAGCTGTGGACCCGGGAAGGAGATTGTCTGATCAGCAACCGAAAGCATAGATAGAGCTGTGGACCCGGGAAGGAGATTGTCTGATCAGCAAGTTAACTACAGTGGGATAGTAGGAGACTTTTCATCTCTTTTTCATCATCATCATCATGTTTGCCTGCAGCAGTAGTTTCTTGACCAGAAACCCACATAGGGGTAGACACAGCTACTGTGGGAAATACATCTCTTGCCACCTACACCCAGCAAGTCTCCTTATTAATTATTTTCGCTGATATTCTAATAGTTCTAAAAAATATTTTTCTAAATGCCAGCTCTAAATTTTATAACAATTATTTTGTTTAAGACAGTTCCTGTGTTGATTATGTTCACAAGCGACAGTGATTGACATTCTATGTGCTTTTTGTTGGCATAGGAACAGAGCAACTGTGGGGTGGCCCGTTTGCTTTGAAGTTATAACTGCCATTACCTGATTGTATATGTTGCAGTCTCTTTTGGTTGACTGAAGTGGTCAAAGCATTTGCCTTGTGTTCTGAAGGTTATGGGTTCATTTCACAGCTGCATAGCTCTGTTTACAGGCGCAGTTGTTATGGAGATCCATGGGGATTATCGCTGAAGCTACGGAGTTCATGATTTGTGGGACGCTCTAAGCAGATGGCTAGCCATTTTGCAAAGAGCCAGAATGGAATAAATCTGGTGCTTTGAAGTTGATCCTCTTAACTTCACTACCCACTGCGCCCTAACAAGCATGTCAGACTAATTAGGGATGTTTTCTTTGAAGTAGGAGCCTATCTACCTGAGAGACAAGGAACCAACAGTCTGCATACAGATAAGCAAGATATCTGTAAGGCAGATATGCATGCAAAACTCAAATTCTGGACAAGACAAAATCCTGAAGTCAACAGGCAACCATTGCATGTAGAACCAGAACATTCCAACAGTTTACAGTCTGTGAGTGTGAAGACAGCAAAGATGACCGCAACATTGGGTTTTCTGTGAAATAAATATTTCAGTGAGGCAGCTGAACACACAAATCATTTGACTGATTGGTGGTGTAAATTTTGTGTCGGCTGCAACAAGTTAGAAATCCAGTCCTGGCATTGAATCAATGTGCCAGTCGTTAGCTGGCTTTCCCTTGAGTTAGAGAGAAAGAATAATAAGCAAGGGAATTGATTACCTAACATTTTTTCTCATCCTTCAATTTAAATGATTCTTTTTATAATACATGCCATGTGGCATAGGTAGTTATGTCCATAGGTAGTTATGTCCATCCACAACCTTCTTTCTCGTGTATTTTCAGTCAGTTCTGACACAGAGGATCCTCTATGACATGATGTCAAACTATCCAGAATCTTCTCTCTTGGTCTCCCTCTGCCTCTCTTCCCCTCCAACTTTTCCATTGTCACGATGTACTGCAGTTTTCTCCTTCTCATGACATGACCCACAGAATGTGGATTGTCTTCTTCTGATGTGGATTCAATCCTTATAACATCATAACCCGGTATTGTTCTTCTGATGTGGATTCAATCCTTATAACATCATAACCCGGTATTGTTCTTCTGATGTGGATTAAATCCTTATAACATCATAACCCGGTATTGTTCTTCTGATGTGGATTAAATCCTTATAACATCATAACCCAGTATTGTTCTTCTGATGTGGATTAAATCCTTATAACATCATAACCCGGTATTGTTCTTCTGATGTGGATTAAATCCTTATAACATCATAACCCAGAATTGTTCTTCTGATGTGGATTAAATCCTTATAACATCATAACCCGGTATTGTTCTTCTGATGTGGATTCAATCCTTATAACATCATAACCCGGAATTGTTCTTCTGATGTGGATTAAATCCTTATAACATCATAACCCGGTATTGTTCTTCTGATGTGAATTAAATCCTTATAACATCATAACCCAGAATGGTTCTTCTGATGTGGATTAAATCCTTATAACATCATAACCCAGAATGGTTCTTCTGATGTGGATTAAATCCATGTAATATCATAACCCAGTATTTTTCTTCTGAGTTGAGTTGATTCAAGAACTGACATCACAGCACTTGAGGCGTTCCCCTAAGCACTGCATCCCCATCTTCAGCAACCAGCGCAGAGTTCCTATGTTCTTCTCTGGACCTTTTTTAATGCCAGTGGTGATTCAAGTATTTGATGACATCCCGACTCATATTTTGAAAGACCTTTCAGCACTTTGGGGGGGGGGGGGGGGGGGGGGGCGTTGATGTTGTGAACATCACTCCAACTGCTTTTGCTTCCCAGGACATTACCAGTTTAGGCTGGGAGTTAAGGTCAGTTCTGAAACAAATCCACCATGACACAGAGTCAAACCTTTGATCTTCAGGTCAGTAGGCCAGCCTTTAGCTCCTACATTATTGCGGCTCCCATACACAAGTTTATATGTTATAGATGATGTGTCAATCCGTAGTCATATCAGAAATTTGTAGACAAAAGTATTTTTTTAATGTGATATTTTTCATACTTTAAATGATACTTTAAAGTCACATATATTTGTTGTCTGAAGACTGTTGTGACATTCTAACACGTCATGGCACCATTTGTGTACCTTTTTGACTGTTCATAAATGAGGCAGTGTCTTATTCAATGAGCATGAGACATTTTACCGTAAGATCCTCTACGAGAGAAAAGATGGATTAATTTGGTTAGAAATGTTTTGGAACGTTTAATACAGTGTCTGTTAATTGTAGAGTTTTTGTGAGAACAAGGAAGTCTTTTGCTTTGTTGAAGACTTGTAAAGAGATGAAGTATCACTTGAAGGCTCTTGTTGGCACAGGGGCAAACCACTGCTTTGTTATAGACTTGTAAACAGATTCTTTTAAAAAGATTATGACGTGAAGGCTCTTGTTGGCACAGGGGCAAACCATTGCTTTGTTGAAGTCTTGTAAAGAGATGAAGTATCATTTAAAGGCTCTTGTTGGCACAGGGGTAAACCATTGCTTTGTTGAAGACTTGTAAAGATTTGAAAGTATCACTTGAAGGGACTTGTTGGCACAGGGGCAAACCATTGCTTTGTTGAAGACTTGTAAAGATATGAAGTATCACTTGAAGGGACTTGTTGGCACAGGGGCAAACCATTGCTTTGTTATAGACTTGTAAACAGATTCTTGTAAAAAGATTATGACGTGAAGGCTCTTGTTGGCACAGGGGCAAACCATTGCTTTGTTGAAGTCTTGTAAAGAGATGAAGTATCATTTAAAGGCTCTTGTTGGCACAGGGGTAAACCATTGCTTTGTTGAAGACTTGTAAAGATTTGAAAGTATCACTTGAAGGGACTTGTTGGCACAGGGGCAAACCATTGCTTTGTTGAAGACTTGTAAAGATATGAAGTATCACTTGAAGGGACTTGTTGGCACAGGGGCAAACCATTGCTTTGTTATAGACTTGTAAACAGATTCTTGTAAAAAGATTATCACGTGAAGGCTCTTGTTGGCACAGGGGCAAACCATTGCTTTGTTGAAGACTTGTAAAGAGATGAAGTATCATTTAAAGGCTCTTGTTGGCACAGGGGTAAACCATTGCTTTGTTGAAGACTTGTAAAGATATGAAGTATCACTTGAAGGGACTTGTTGGCACAGGGACAAACCATTGCTTTGTTGAAGACTTGTAAGAATAGAACAAATTATCACTTTAAGACTTGTTGTGACAGCTGAGACAAGAGAGCAAAACAAGCCGGATTCTTCATTTGACAGAATTGCTTGTTTGTGTGCCGGAGTGTTGGTTCCTTGTCTCTAAGGCAGATGCACTCTGACTTTAAAGGAAATAAGCCAGATCTGTAATACAGATGTGCACGCATAACTCAGGTTGTGGAACAAGACCAGAGTTCAGAAGTCTTCTTCTCTCTTTTCTTCTTCTGCCTTTTTATCCCCCAATGGAGCATAGGCCCTCAACCAACTCACGCCAAGTCGTTCTATCCTTTGCCATTACATGGAGCTCTCCCCATGTCCTCCCAATCTTTCTAACCTCATTCTCCAGCTCTCTTCTCCATGTGTTTTTTGGCCTTCCTTTATTCCTATGCCCCTGTGGGTTCCAATGCAAAGACATTCTAGTTATGCTGTTCTCCTGTTTTCTCAGTGTGTGCCCTATCCAACGCCAGCGTCTTTTCCTCACCTCCTGATCCACTGGAGCCTGTTTAGTTCTCTCCCAAAGTTCTACATTAGTTATTCTATCATACCATTTTATTCCCTCTATTCTGCGCAGGCACCAGTTAATGAATGTCTGTAATTTACTAGTAATTGCCTTCGTTGTTCTCCATTTTTCCGCCCCATACAATAGTACTGATTTGACATTAGAATTAAAAATTTTTAGTTTAGTATTTCTTTTAATTTCTTTTGACCTCCACAAATTCCCTAGTGCTATGAAAGCCCCTCTTGCCTTTTGTATTCTTATTTTAATATCTCTATCAGTTCCTCCATCTTTATCTACATTACTGCCCAAATAGGTGTACGACTCCACGTCTTGGAGTGGGGTGCCATTAAGAGAAACCACATTACTATTTGCCTGATTTATTCTCATTATCTTTGTCTTTCCTTTATGGATTTTCAGACCAAGCTGCTGTGATCTCGCATTAAGTATATTTAATTTATCTTGTATCTGATTCCGTGAATGGGACAGAAGGGCAATATCATCAGCGAAGTCCAGATCATCAAGCTGTTTTGTAGGGGTCCACTGAATTCCATTCTTGGTGTTAGCAGTAACTGTTTTCATAGTCCAGTCTATAGCCAGTAAAAATAGGAGAGGCGACAAAAGACATCCCTGTCGCACACCTGTTTTTATTTCAAATGCATCTGTTAGCTTTCCCTCATGAAGAACTCGACATTTCATGTTTTTATATGTTGCCTTTACTAAGTTGATAATTTTCTGTGGGATTCCATAGTGCCCCATCAATTTCCAGAGAGATTCCCTATCAATGCTTTTTCATAGTCTATAAATCCAATGTAAAGTGGTAAGTTCAGTTCAATGCTTTG